TTTTCAGGAAAAAAAGAGTTGTTACTGTGACCTCCCTGTGAGGCAAGTAGAAATAAAAGAGCAAAAAGTAACATTTGTGAGGGTTTTTATTTTTGATGGCTGATATAATTTTCAGTTGGAGTGAGCTGCTCTACTTTGCAGAAATAAAACCAGTCTCTTTTAGACTTTGAGAGATTACAGACTGACACAAATTAATTAGAATAAAGTGAAGTAAAAAAACCCAGAGTGGTTCAAAGCTCCAACAGAGCTGATATGCTCTCAGAGTGGGGATTTAAAACAGACATGTTGGATTTGTAAGGAATGATACAAACACACACAAAATGTTGCTTGAAGGTAAAGTAATTTTTGACAACTTGTAGGAGGACTTGTAAAAGTTTTTCAAGTTTCTTCAAAGACTGACTAAGAAGTTGTGTTACAGAAAGTTGAGAAACTTTGCACTTTGTATACTGTCAGAGATTTCCTCTTTATACAAGAGTTCTCTCTAGAAGGAAAATAGGAAAAAAAGTGGGGGAAAGAATTGGAGTACCCCAAAAACGGCCAAATAACTATTTTCTAAAGGAAGAGCTCCAGAAAGAGCTGGGGAAAGTACTTGGATGACAGAAAGCAAAGTTTTTTTACTGGAGGTGGTTTATCCCACTTCAACAGAAATGGTTGTGAAAAGCTGCTTCCATAAGATATTCTCTCTGCTGCTGCTGTTTCTCCCAGAAGCAGCTTGGTCAAATTGGTTGGCAGTTGCCACTATTCTGAAGAGGCTGATCATGTTGCAAATACACGTCATGAATGAAAAGATAAAGACAGCACTACTGACTTGAGGGGACAGTGGCTAAAACTGCAGTCAAGGTTGGTTAGACCATCCTCACTGAAAGCCAAAAAACAATTCTTAAAGTTCAATTTACTTTCAAAATGTAAATATCTATGTCAGGAACTGTCATAAATTTTTATACTAAGTGTGGGAAAAGGCAGGAAAAGGAAAAACAAAATCACAGTCAATTTAAGGTGGAGAAGTAAAGCAGAGATCCTCTAGTGGTGAAGTTTATCACTCATTAAGAAGTCTGTTTCCAAACCAGCCAGATAAATAAATGGGGAAGGATACAAAATTTGGCAGAAGAGGAGAAAAATCCTCAAATGCATGAAAATTTTGTCAATTCTTTTAACAGCATTATTTACAATATGAAGTGGGTAACTGAAAGAGGTTATCAGTTTCAGGTCAGCTTTCCTTTCCTCAAGACTCACAAACCCCTGATGACTGGAAGACAGACAAGGTCAGGGAAAGGTATTTCTGGTTGCAGTGAGGACAAAGCAGATTACTAGTGTCTAGTTTTGATATTAAAATGCAAATTCTCTGTTATTCCCACACCAAAACAGCAGCAGCCCCTGTCACACCTGGAGATCATGGGGGCAGTCATCCTCCAGGAACAGCAAACTGTGGTTGGAAAGAGAAGGTGCTCAGGAGCAGCAGTCTCAGTTTTGCAGGGAACACTACATCTCCCTTACCTGAGAGACCTGCCAGTCCTGTGGGTGAGAGGTGCATCCCAAATCACATTGTCAGGAAATCAAAGGGACTGATAGGTTCTCAATTTTCACATGTATTTTCTTGAAGTAGCTTGTATGTTAAAAGCCCTACACATTGCTTTGATTTCTTATGATACTTTCCTTAGCTTAGCAAGGGGCTCTGCTGATGTCAAATCCCAGAAAATTATTCAAGGAAAGAGACCTAAGGAAGCCTGGCTTGAACTATGAAAGCCTATCCAGAAGAGACATTTAAATTCCCACAGTGATACAGTTATTTTTTGCTATTTCTGTTTCCTTTAAGTACCATTTTCATAACAATACCACACCAGGGTATTATATAGTGGCTGCAGAGAGATTTTTCAGAGCATTTGAAAAAAACAACAGTAAATTAAAAGTCACTATGATATGTGCATATTGACCTGATTAAAACAAAACATAAGAAATCCATCTACCCCCAAAAATAAAGCATCCTGGGAGGAGGCTGTGCTTGATATAATTAGCACCTGAGATAGAAAAAGGAAGTGTGCACAGGTCTCCAGAGACAATTTTTTTCAAAGGCACAAAAATGTCCCACAAATATGGGTTAAAAGGACACGCAAAGATCATTTTTAGATTGAAAAACCTAAACCAGAGTCAGATGTACTTCATATTTGACTCAAAGGTGCACTGGCAGATAATAAGGCAACTCTTCACCTTTTATCATACTTCCAAAGTGTAATCATCTTATTCCCACAAAAGAAGACATGTTTGTGATATAAGCGGGAAAAAAAAAAAAAAAATCTGTCTCCAGAGCAGAGATGGGGTGGGCTTCCTAAAGAGCTAGAATGATCTAAGGGAATGCACTTCACCCCTGCCATCGGCCTTCCTACAGATACCTCAGCTAGCCAAGCCTTTTATGCATCTAAACAGCATTTTCACTAGACTACATATAGTTTATTTTATACATGGTGCTTTTTTTCCTGAAGTAGTCATCACTGAAGCACAAGTTCAGCAGAATTGTAACTGTTTTCCATTACCTCTAAACTTAGGAATATATAATCCAAACAGGAAAGTTGGCTACAAAAAGTAGGCATGCTGAGACTGTGGTCTGTATTTAGTTTTTGCAGATCGGCTAAAATGGAGCATTAAGTGTTATGAACTACATTTCAATATACCTGTCTTAATTATAAGGCTATATTATATCTTTTGACAGACCAGTGCCAAAAAATCTTCATGAGAGATGGAGCAGACTTGTGGTCTGGGGTTTCAGAAAGGGACAAAATAAATCTGTGAAAATCTGCATCACACAAATAACTGAGAGCCACTACATGAAGGAGGAATGTCCAAGGGAACAGACTGAAGTTGTGGGAGATGGTCACCTCTATTGCCATATGCTTGTAAAGATTGGCAGACACCTTCTCCATATCATGGGGAAATCAGGATACAGGCTCAGTCACTTTGTCTGGGAAAGCACTGAAGTGGTGATGAGCAAAACAATGTTCAGAGGGCTGGGCTGCAAGGCACAGGCACAACCAGAGCAAGTAGATTTATTACCACCCAGTAGCAGTCGTGTCCACCTCCCAGAGAAACTCCACAGGGCTGTATTATAATACCAGGCAACTTAATGCCTAAGGTTTTGACAGATTTTCCCTCCAAAATCTTGTCAGGGCTACGGAGTTGTTGAAAATATGATGGCAACACACCCTCAGCTGCTCCTGTCCACATCCAGCATCTTAGTTCAAATCCTCTCACAGGGTGCAGGGCCTTCTGTCAAAGCCTTTGTTGTCACTGTCACTTAACAAGGCTGTTTAGCTGAAATTCTGTTCTGTGCTCATGGTGATCATTAACAGAGCTGAGGATAGCCCTCACAAGTCCTGACCCCTGCCAGTACTGCCAGACTTTTCTTCTCACTATTTTATTGCTGTTCTGCTAAAGGCACATGGCTGCTGTTAAAATCCCAGCCAGCTGCTAACAACTGCTGGGTTTTTCCCAGTTCATTAGAGGTCTACAAATAGTTTTAAATCATTAAGCTAATTAAGCAGAAATAAAGCCTGCCAAATGGTTGTAGGCCTTAAACAAAATACATATCTAGAAATTGCTGACCTGGTAAAAGACTGCAGGAAGGGTCATCATGCTAAGCCTTAGTTCATCAGCTTCCCTTATGCACATATTTGAGTGTCCTGGCCAGGAGCAGTAGCTTTTGGCACCACAGCCTGCTGTTAGGGTGGGCCAAACACAATTCATGCTTCTTGGTTAGCCCATCACCCCTGTCCTGGAGTGTGTCAGACACAGCATGGCCAGCCAGGCCATGGGATTTTCCCGCTCTGCTCTGTGCTGGGGCAGCCTCACCCCAGGTTCTGGGGGCAGTTTTGGGTGCCACAATATAAAAAAGACATTAAAATACTAGAGAGTGTCCAATAGAAGGCAGCAAACATGATGAAGGGTCTGGAGAGGAAGCCGTGTGAGGAGGACTGCTGAGTAAGTCTGAGTAAGTCACTCAGGGGCCACATATTCAGTTTTAAATAAAACTTTAGTACCTGTGGAAAATAATTATGTTGTAGTGCAGGAGGCAACTGGCCAGCCTGAAAAGGCATATTTTTGCAAACCTTTAAGGTATAAATTGGGAAAACAATGGGGTGTTCATAAGTTCTTGTATATGCCCAATTCGCCCAAGGCACTTTTAGGGAGAGATTTATTGGAGCAGTTACAAGCAACCATTACATTCAAAAATTGAGAGCTTACTTTGGAGGTGAATGATCAAAAGTACATAGACGTATTAAGTTTAACCTTAACAGCTATTGAAATTAAGGAGGAAATTGATGAAGAGATATTAAGTCAAGTATTTCCCAGGTTATGGACCTCTGATGTACCAGGGAGGGCAAAAAATGCCTCCCCCATAGTAATTAAGCTTAAGAAAGGGATACAACCAGTGAGAATTAAGCAGTATCACCTAAAAAAAGAAGACAGGGAAGGAATCAGCCCAATAACTGAAAATTTTCTGCAGTTAGGGTTATTGAAAGAATGCCAATCTGATTTCAATACTCCCATTTTACCCATTTGGAAATCTGATGGGTCATATCGCCCCCCCTGAAATATCATGTTTTCTGCTGGGCTGTTGGGGTCCACTCAATGGAGCCTTGGAGAGCAACTTGCAAAAGATCTGGAGTCCTGGGAAGCTCCACAGGAAGAAGGAAGGCTATTGCAGTACATGGATGATCTTCTAGTAGCCACTCGGATGAGGGAAGCATGTGTGGCCTGGATGGTAAGGCTTTTGAATTTTCTAGGACTCTAAGGATACACAGTATCTGTGGGGGGATGGAATAGAAGAAAGTAGAGATAGTGCAGAAGGTAATCACGCCCTTGAGGAGTTGCAGCTGTACTAACTACCCAAGATTAGGAACAGGCCTGCCCTTAACAGGCCACAGCTGTAACCAATGAGAAGAGAAGTGCTATAAGAGAGTGGGTTGGCTGGTTGAGAAGGAAATTAGAGTTTGTTGGCTGTGCTGTGAGGAAGGAGTCAGTACTGTGAGGAGCTGCCCATGAGAAATTATGAAGAAGGTATGGAACTTTTACAAATAAGATGACAACAAGTATCAAAGAAAAAGGCACAAGTAGTGGAACAGAAAGTAATCTACCTGGGATACAAAGTCAGTGCTGGGCAACAGACTTTAGGGCAGGCTTGCAAAAACCACATGCCAAACCCTGAAACTCCAGACAGCAAAGGAACTCCGAACCTTCTTAAGCATGGCAGGGTGGTGCTGGCTGTTGGTTTATAATTACGGACTGTACATCATATAGAGATCTCCAGTGGACAAAGGAAGCCACGTGAGCCTTTCACCAGCTAAAGAGTGCCCTCATGTCAGCTCCAGCTTTGAGACTTCCAGATGTAAGTAAACCATTCTTTCTATTTTCCCATGAAAGACAGGGTATTGCCCTGGGAATATTGGCTCAGGACTTGGGTCCATACCAGAGGGCTAGATGCAACCGCCAAAGGATGGCCAGGTTGCCTCAGAGCTGTAGCAACAGTTGTGCTGAATATATAAGAGACACACAACTGGGACAGAAAATGACTGTGCTAGTGTCCCACACAATGTCCACAGTACTGGAAGTAAAGGGTGGCCACTGGCTTTCACCACAGAGGTTCCTGAAATACCAGGCCATCGTGGTAGAACATGATGATGTAGAGATAGTGGTAACTAATATTGTCAACCCAGCTTCTTTTCTCAGTGGAAATCAAGGAGAAGCAGTGCACCATGGTTGCATGGAGACCCTTGAAGCTACTTACTCCAGCTGCTCAGCCTTGAAGAACGCTCCTTTGGACAATGCAGAGACTTAGCTGATTGCACTGACCCGTGCCTTGGAAATGGCAAAAGGAAAGAGAATAAACATCTATACAGACTTGAGGTACGCATTCAGATGCATGCACATGGAGCCATCTGGACAGAGAGGGGACTGCTGACCTAACAAGGAAAGGAGAGATAATCTGGCTGCTGGAAGCAGTTCAGCTGCCTGAAAAGGTAGCAACTATGCATATTAAGGCACACCAGAGAGCGAGCTCAGAATTAGAGGAAGGAAATGAGCTGGTGGATGGAGAGGCAAAGAAAGTAGCAAAAGGTGAGGTAATTATGGACAGGTTTCCCTTGAAGGTAAGCCAAAATGTAATAAGAAAGATAGAAATCTAATTGAAGATCAAAAAGGGACATAAAACCAAGAAGGGTGGGCTACCATTGAAGGGAAGCTGGTAATCCCTTCCCATTTGTGTGGTCGCTAGTTAGGGGAGAGCACCAGAAAACACACTGGGGCCTTACTACTTAAAAGCTTTTATGAAGTGTGGCTCCTTTCCCAGAATGACCAAGGCTGCTGGTGTTACAGAGTGCATTGAAATGAAGTGTTGACTTTTAAGTAGTGGTTTCCATAGGCTTTCTAGAATACATATCTGATTGAAAGAATCATTGCTAGGAATTTATATGCCACTGTTACTCAGGTAAACTGGCAGTGAGGTCCTTACCTCCAGACTAACCCCAAGAATACCCCCAGACTGAAACTCAGTCAGATTGGGTGGGGCCATGGGCCACTGGACAGCAGTGGCAAATTGACTTTCCAGAACTCCCAAGGAAGGGGGATAGCGGTATTCATTAGTACTGATAGATACATTTTCAGGATGACCAGAAACGTTCCCCACCAGAACTGTCAAGACTAGAGAGGTGACCTGGGTATTATTACATGAAATAATACCACACTTTGGTGTTCCAGCCACAATATCCTCAGATAGAGGATCACATTTCATTTCTGAAATAGTGCAACAGATTGGTAGCCACCTGGTCATAGACTGGGAACTTCATACTCCATACTGCCCCCAGCTGAGCACCCCCAGGTGGAGAAAACTAATCATTTGATTAAGCAGCAGATTGTAGTACTGCGGCAGGAAGTTAATCTGTCCTGGTCCCAAGCTCTTCCACTGGCACTATTGCAAATTCTATCTAAACCTCAGGCTAAAGAAAAGATGAGTCCCTTTGAAATGTTTCATGGAAGGCCATATGGAATACAAAAGGGAATGTCCACCCACATTGGGGAGGTAACATTGGCCACCTACATGGTGGCTTTAAGCAAACAGCTCAGAGAAATTGAGAAACACATGGCTGGAACTTGGAGCAGGCAGCTAGGTGGACCAGTACATGACATACAGCCTAAAGGTTATGTATATGTTAAGTCTCTTACAGAAAAGGCTTTGGAACCACAGTGGGAGAGACCATTCCAGGTGCTTCTCACCACCTTCACCACAATCAAGATCAAGGAGCAGCATGCCTGGATCCACCACTCTTGAGTGAAGAAGGCCCCAGAAGCCCCTTGGAGAGTAACACCAGGAAACAATGAACTGAGACTAAAGCTTACTCAGGCAAAATGAGTATATTGCAGCTGGGGGTAATTTGTAATTTTATTTACAGAATTGTTTTGTATATAATTATAACTGGAGTCTTAGAATTTGAGAGTACCTCTATCCAAAGCAATGCTGAATGGCCTTGGTCCCAAGCTTTTAATCAGTATGCTGGATCCATGGGAGAACCTTCTGAGATAAAAGATTTAAACCTGTCCAGTGTGGCAATCCATGGGAATCAGGTATATGAGGAGCAGGAGTAGCAGGAACTGTGGACACTTCAAGGGATCAGAGAAGAAGAAATCAAGGTAATGTGCTGAGTGGTCAATGGGATTGCTCATGAGAGTTCAGATGCAATTAGTGTCTTAACCTCTCCTGTATACAAACACCAGGAAGAATGTGGATGAACAACAACTGTTGTTCAATCCAGAATGGTCTCTCAAACGTGTTGAATTGCCAATGCAAATTAACAACTCAAAAATCTAACCAGCCTGCTCCTCTTTGCTAAGAAATCCTTTGAGAGCTAGACAATGTAGTTACAAAGACAAGTATACTTCAGAAGCAGAAGAAGAAAAGATCTAACTGGAATATTAAAGACAGGATTGGGAGTTTTAAATGGAATTGATTCAGAAATACTGATGAATAAGCTGGCCACTACAGCAGGTGGCCTAGCAAAATTGAAGCGGCCTTTACAGTCATATCTATTGGCATTAGGAACTGGTCAGTGGCAGATTTCAAAAGTATTGCCAAAGTGGGAAAAGACTGGGGACCAAGACCACAAGCTAATACTAGAAGCGCTTAGTACAATTCAAGATAATGTGTTTTTAGCTTTCAGTTGTATGCAAGCACATATGGATGTAGGCAGCAGCAGCTTTTATCATATGGGAAGGGGGTGAAGGTAATTTTCCAGAAATTCAGAAGGTTGTCTGGGATAATGCGATTTATTTTGAAAGGAAGTTTCAATCCTGGTGGACTATGGTAAATTTCACCTATGATCCTGCTTCTAATGTGGCCACTGCCTTTGTGCTTACCATACGTGATAATGCCACTCTTTATATTATCCACCCCATCGTTGCACTAGGATTAAATAATGAAAAAACGGTGCTCTACCCTTAAGAACATAGGGTGTGGGCACGAAAGGTGAATGAAAAGTGGCAAACAGTAAACTTAGAATCTTGTATTACTAGGGAACAACTAGGACTCATTTTTGAAGGCAACACTATTAATGCTCAAGATGTGTGTCCAGACACTGAACAAAGTATTTGCCACTTTGAGGTTCATCCGGTCACTGATCAGAAAACTGTGCTCGTATATACTAGTAAAGGTTCTGTGTGCTTGAGAACTGTTTGTGCTATTGTAAAAATTCATAACAACTATGTTATTTTGTGTAGTAGAAATCATTCTAACATTCGTATTTGTAGTTTTGTGAACCTCCTTATTAAATGTACATGGTAAAGCATTAAGACACTTATTATTGTAGGGATTTGCATTAAGTAAAAGAGTATACTTATGTTCTAGGGAAGGAGGGAAATGAGACGGAGTGGAAATTTCCCAGCGTAGAAATCCATTTTGATTTAGGTGAAATGCACATATTTGCGTTAAGCTTTGAGTAGCCTGCGAACATAGCTGTTTAGGCTGACTGCCTGTTCTCACAAAAACCTATGCTTGGAAAAACTGCTTCAGCAGAATGAAAAGAGATAAGGGGGAGGATGGGGACAGACAGAAAGGATTCTATGGAGGGCAGGGCATCATGAAGCAGGCATTCTTTCTGATAAAGAAGAATTAGCAGTAAATGTCACGTGAAATCAGTAGAAGGAATATGTATGTATCTATGGTGAAATTGGATGCATATCTATTTGAGAGGGAGACAAAAAGGATCTGGAGTTCCCAGAGGTATGCATGTCATTTTGGGGAAAAAAATGCCACATGTGTCCAGCGCTGTAATTAACATACTGGCTTTAAACCTTTCACAAAGTTATGGAGATGTTTTACCGCTGGGAATCAACTTCTAATGGCTTTGAAATCGATGAAGATAACTCTTTTTTTCAGGATCGATGTCATGTCACAGCTGTATTCCCCCCAAAGTTGTGTATTCCTCCTTGAATTTTCCCCCTGCTCCTACTGCCTCTGTGAGGATAGTTTTGACATCATTTGTCCCTTTGCACTGCCCC